TCGCTAATCCTCAGGTATACCTTTATCATCTAACATACTGTTAGCAATTCTCATCATAACTTCAATTCCTATCACCCTACTCGCCTTTATATGTTCCGCCGCCACTTCCGAAACCCCTGTCACCTTACCTAGTTTCATTTCTCTAGCTACTTTCTCTACTTCCCCCATCGTCACCTTCTCTATGGGTCCGTGTGTGACCACGGATTCCACATCTCCAACCCACTCATTTTCTTCATTCATCAACCTTTCCACATCTGAGCTTTTTCCTTCTTATCTATGCACAACTTGCCAGATCCATTCCAAACATATCCATTCCCTATAACATCTTTCCTATCCCTCATTGACTGCTTTGCTACTTTGAGCATTTTCCTCGAACTCATATCAAATTCCATTGCCCTCATTAACCTATCTGATGCTTTTGTCATTGCAGTTGCCACTGCCCGTTTTGCAACCTTCTTAGCCTTCCTGTACTCAAACTCCGCTTCCCCCGTCATGTCCCTTTTCAACACCCTAAACCTCTCTTTCTTGACCTCCAAAACTTTTCCTATATCTTCATCCCACCACCACGTCTCACCATGCCTACACCTTCCTTTCGTCAATCCACATATTTTATCTGCCGGAGTCAACACACAGTTCCTATATCTCTCCCAAACATCTCCATCCTTACCACTCTCCCAACTTTCAGCCACCTTCACTTCAAATGCCTTCCTTACCTCTGCATCCTGTAACTTCCATGTCTTTCTCTTTGCCACAAACTTATCCTTCTTCCTCCTCCCCATTTCTTTTGATGCCACATCCATCACAACCATACTATGCTGCAACATACCAGGCATCGCCTTCACATTCCTTACATACTTTCTATGCTTCACCCTTATCAATATATAATCTATCACTGACCTATGCTCACCTGACCTATATGTAATTAATCGTGCTGGTTCCCTTGTAAACCAGGTATTCCACCCCACCATGCTATGTGCATCCGCCAACTCCAACACTCTACGTCCTTCCTCATTCCGTATACCATATCTCCATCCCCCATGTACACCTTCATATCCATCTACATCCGCCCCCACATGACCATTCAAATCACCCAACAACACCACAAATTCATCCAACCCTGCTTGCCCAATCTCATCAAAAACATCATCATAAACCTATCTTTCTCCTCTTCCTTCCTACTTTGTTGCGGAGCATATTCCGATATTACCCTCACTATTACCTTTCCAAACACCATCACCACCACAATTACACCATTGCTTTTCCGCCTCACTTCCAACACCTTCTCCACCAACTCTTCTCTTACCATCACACCAACTCCTCCCGCACCATCATCCCCCTTCCACCACAACTTATATCTTCCACCTTTAGCCCCCACAAACCTTGTACCCTCTCCCTTCCATCTGATCTCCTGTAATGCAGCCACGTCAACCATTCTCCTCTGCAATTCCTCCACCACTTCCAAACTCCTTCCTGTCAACGTGTCTACATTCCAGGTACCAAACCTCCAACCCCTTGGTCTACAAGTAATCCTTCCATCCAGAGTGCCTTGCACCGCAACACTAGAGTGGGGTGCCAGTAGCCAGACCATCCACAGGGCCTTGCACCGCAACCCCATGGACTGGGTCTCCGGGGATTCTTCACACCCTCTTCTACCGGATACTGAGGGCCATTGTCACTTCTGTCATCACTAGTAATTTTTTTTGGCTAATTTTTACGCAGTACGCCCTTCCATACGAAACCAGTTATAAGCGATGGGCCTAGCCTTTGAAGATCCAAAATCACTCACAAGGCAGTGAGGGTCAGTTTAATGTCATAACCAGGACAATGTAAAAAAAATTATTCATAACAAGTGGGAAAATGATTTTTACAATCATATTTCTACATTTGGAAAGAAGAAAATTAGCCTCAATTATCGCAAATAGTAATCCTTGGCTAAAAAGAAGATATAAAAAATGAGTGAGTCATTTTCTATGTAACTTATGTACAATAAAACTTTTATAATAACACACGTAAGTCACAAATCTAAAGTATGTTAATGTAATGATTAACTAACATCCATTCGCATCATCCTATAATAATTATGGAAGATTAAAGACAATAATAAGCAAAGCAAGTAAAATTGGTTTAACCAACAAACAAATTGAAAAGTATTATAACAACAGCGAACAATGTAACATAGAGAGAGAACCCTAACATCAACGAACATTATAATGATATATATATATATATATATATATATATATATATATATATATATATATATATATATTATACTGAGGAAGATTGAAGCAAATTTTAAAAATCTAGCTATTGATAAGTAGATTGATAAGAACTAACTTATGTTGTTGATACGTGAACTTGAGAATAGATGAAAATGAGCCAGCCACTGAAGAATTTGGTGTAGTTGATAACAAATAAAGGAAGCGATCTGATGAAAAATAATTCAAAAACTTTTTGTGAAGTAATCTTTCTTTTAGTGAAACATGAGCTGACGATTCCTTTCTTATTTTATACCATCCAACAATGCACTACAATGATATAAAGATATAAACGTTATTTTATGCGAATTTTAGATAAAACTGTTACGATAATGAATCAATAAAATTAATTTTTAAATTCTTATATTTTCATTTTATACTACATGAAAAATTAAAAAAATGAAAATAGCATAATTTCGAACCTTAAAACTTTTCTCTTTAGAAACAAGATTTAATTTTTTATGACAAAGATCAGTATTTCCAATATACCAGTGGCTTAGTTCCAAAGAAGGTATGCAATCATGTATTGCTGAAAAATTATTTATGAAGAATTAAGAAAATGGTATTCAATAAGATTAAAACTTCAAAAAATCTAATGCAAAAGCTCCTCTAGAAATTAAATTCTTTAACTGAATATTTTTCTGGAGAGTTCAAAAGTTTCCTCTAAATTTCATGATAAATCGAAAGCGGTTGGCCCGTCTGGACTCGCAAGCGATATCATTAAGGCATCCGGTGGAGCAGGTTTTCGGGCTCTGTTACACATCTGTCTGGAGATGTAGAAGGAATCGTTTATGCTGATCGAATAGAACACTAGCACAACAGTGCCGTTATACGAAGGCAAAGGTGATCCTTTGAAATGTTTTCCTTATCAGAGTATACGGCTTTGTGGCAGGAAGATTCACTATCGATGCGATCTACATCATACGTCAGTACAGGCGCCGACTCCATGGGGCTTAGAAGGGCTCGAGCCCCCACCCAATGTTCAGTCCCCCCGATGTTTTGTTATAAAAATTGAATATTTTTTTAAATATAATTTTAAATATTTTCTAAACTTTCCATACTAATTTTCATATTTAGTTCTTGAGATTTGTATACCGTAATTTAAGCAAAAAGTGAAATAGCTTTGCTATCTTTCTTCTATCTTTCATTTAAGGTAACTTTTCATTGTGTGTGCTTGATAAGCGGAGTAAAATTTAAAATCATTTTTAAATAAATTAAAAATCGTTTTTTAATTGGTTTAAAATGAAACGTCGACAAACTACAATTGATTTTTCTAAGTTTGCAAGTTCTTCAAGAAATATAGATGACAATGAAATCACAGAAGAGATAATTGTAACAAAACAATACAAAAACATCTAGAAATTTTAAGTTAGAAATCAGAGAAAAAGGAAAGAAATTTTCATTCTTCTTGGAAGAAGAAACATACTTGGTTAAAATATGAGCCTGTTGAAGGCAAGATATATTGTGAAATATGCCAGCAATGTGATGACCTTAATCTCTTTCAATTTTCAAGTAAATAGGATCATGCATTTACCAGAAAAAGATTCAACAAATCACGAAAAATCACTCAGCCATCAGAAAGCAGTTTTGAAAATAAATAATGTAAATCAAGACAGAACTCTTTTATGGTAAAAGCTAGAAATGTTTTTTTTTTAAAATTGTTACATCTTTGCAGTACTTATGCTAACAGGGGCTTGCAATAAAGGGTAGGAAGGACAATACTGCCACCTTTAATAAGTTGTTATAAATATGTTGCGAAGATAGCAAAAAATTGAGCTCTTGGCTGACAAGAAGCAGATACAGATGGAATTCACATGAAATCCAGAATGAAATCCTTGAAATGTTGGCATTTTCAGTTTTAACTGTCTTCTGCTTCATTTTTCTCAATAATGATTGATGAACCTGCAGATCCCAGTATGAAAAAACAAATAAGCATATGTTTTCATCATGTATCAGATGATTTTACTATTCATGAGAACTTTTTGAGATTTTATGAAACTGTATCGACTACTGCTGAAACTCTTTTACAGATCATAAAAAACGTTCTTTCCAGATTCAATATAAGTTTTCACAAGTGCCGAGGACAACGTTTTGATGGAGCTGCTAATAAGGATGAGAAAATAAGAAGTTTTTAAAAGCAAATTCGAGATATACAGCCAAAGGATTTTCATACTCATTGTTTGGTTCATTCTTTAAGTTTATCATTTCAAGATGCCCTAAATCAAATTAAGGAATGTAGAGATGCAATAAATCTTGTTAAAGATTTTATCAATTTCATCAGAGATAACAAAAACGGCTGTCATGGTTTTCTACATTACAAACTAAAGATAGCACTTCTCCCAGACCTCTGTGTCCAACTAGATGAACAATGAGAGCATTAATTAAATTATTTTTAGTTTAGTTTACAACTAGTCTAATATCTGTAATTTATGTTAATTATGTTAATGTTAATCTATAATCTTCATAATAATATTTTATTATTAATTATTGATAATTTGATTTTTTGCTTATGTAATACATTTCGTGAATTCAATAAACAAATTTTTTTGATTTAGGAGAAATTGGTGCTAAAAGCAGTGAATTTCTAAGAAGTAATCCATCATTGCCGCGCATAAGACGTGACCCAAAAAATGGACGAGGGTGCACAACCTTATATACCTTCTGATCCAAAGGAGTATTTTAAAAGAATTTATATTCAAGCCATGGATGCCGCACTTGAATGTCTGAAAACAAGATTCAAGTCCAAAAGATTTCTTATTGCACAAAACATTGAAAACTTAGTTCTAAGTGCTTTAAATTGCAAGATCAGGATATAAAAGAATATTACGAAAATGATATAGATGAAGATCGTCTTATTCTACACCTGAAAACGTTTCGAGACATCATCTCCCATGATTGTAGTAATTCAAAAAAGGAAATCCAAAGTATACAAGATGTTATTTATCTAATGAAATGCAAATCTATGCAAATCTAAACAGAAAATGTTTTTAGAAATTTTCAATGTTTAATGCTTTTTTTGACATTACTTGTAACAACTTGCACGGCAGAGAGAAGTTTCTCAGAAACGATTTTATTAATAAAAAATAATAAATTAATTAAATCAATTTAGCCTTAATTAAGTAAATGTCGTACCTGAAAAAGAGAAACAACAATTAAAGCTATTATATATAATAACCAATATTAACTAAGAGCTAGAAGAAATATTCAAAATATCCAAATAATTTCAACTCAAACAAAGACTTAAATTTAATCTGTCAAACGTTTCACAATTTTACACAATAACGTTGTACACCATAACTCAATTCATAATGAAGTGGAAATCCTTCATTACATATATATTTATATATTGACTAAATATTTAGTTGATTTAATGCACTTCTAAGGCGACGTTTTCAAAACCATACAACTTACGTCGTGACAATAAAAAATTGGTGGACCATCCAGCATCACGTCTAAAGATTAGTTCAAGAAATTTTTCTATTGCTGGCACAGAAGTATGAAATAGTCTTTCTCTCTGGTCTTTCCGTCAAGAATTTTAAAAAGCTGTTAAAGACTTTCGATAAATGAAACGTTCTTTTGAGATAAATTGTTTTAATCATTGTTAATGAGTTAATTGTCAATTGAATAATACCGAAAACGCAGTGATCTTAATAAATAATTGTATATATATATATATATTATGAAAAAGATGTGAATTGTGAAATTTACCTATGACCACATCATGTGGTCATATATATATATATATATATATATATATATATATATATATATATATATATATATATATATATATATATTATGAAAAAGATGTGAATTGTGAAATTTACCTATGACCACATCATGTTCCTCAACATTAGAAGATGAATCACTGATTGCAAAAAATTTTCTATCAACAACTTCTCCTATTAGAAATCCCTCCTGAATTTAATAAAACAATTACTTGGTAATTGATGAATGAATCTTTTAATTTCGTTTATGATCAAAAAAGTTATAAACCGTTGATGCAGTACATTTTTTAGATTAATTAAACTATTTAACTAAGATCACAGTATAGTAGAGTAAATAAATTTATTTAGTTTCAGTTTTTCAACTGAAATTTATAAAGAATGTACAAGTAAGAATTTTCATTCAATCAATCAATCAACTACCCAACAACCAACAACCAACCAGGATGATAGAAGTACCAACAATATCTCAAACACACAATGTATCATCAATCAAATGTCACAGAACATCTATATGCTTCTTTGAACACATGACACTTTAGACGTCTCCTAACCACCCCAATGGAGCCAGCCCAACGGACATTCAGAAACAGTAAGTTCTAAACAGAAGGAGCAGCGACGAAAAAACGACG